CAGCCTTCAGTGAAAAAACTAAGGGACAGTGCACAGACCCTGAGTTCAAAACCCAGGACTGGCAAATTTGCCATAATATATATGAATTTCTGTGTACCTATGACCTAGAACTCAGTAAAGTTTTATTTCATGGCCTAACTGACCTGTGAGACACTCTATGGCTGCTTCTGTGTCATTGGTAACGATATTATAGCTAATCCAAATCCAGCAGCACCTTCTAGAAAGAACAGTTAGCATCAAAGACTAGACCATGAAAATAAAAGATAATCATGTTTCTGGCTTTTGAACAAGTAGGAGTAAAGAACAAGAAGGTCAAGTAAGATGAGACCCAAAGGAAGAGGCCATGCTACACTGCTGAGAGTCACCTTATCTACAGGAGCTGCTGAGAGTCACTGTGTTTTACAGAAGCTGCTGGTTAGCTGCACAGACCATGACCAGGGAAGGTCCTAAAGTGAAGCCTCTGCTTATAAGGCAGAAGAGGTCTGTGGAATTGGGAAGAGAGTGAAAAAAAGGGATTTAAAAAATCAGTCCAGGGGCTGGGAAGGTGGCTCAGTGGTAGAGCGCTTGCCTTGCATGCATGAAGCCCTGGATTCAATTTCTCAGCACCACATAAGCAAAAAGAAAAAAGCCGGAAGTGGTGCTGTGGCTCAAGTGGTAGAGCGCTAGCCTTGAGCTGAAGAGCTGAGGGACAGCGCCCAGGCCCAGAGTTCAGGCCCCACCTTCCCTAGAAACCCTAAAATAAATTTGAGTTTATCTTCAGGACAAGTTGTAAAAGAAACAGCACTATTAAAAATTGTTTTAACAGAGCATTTTCTCTGAAAAAAAAAATGTACCCTTAGTAGGTACCTCTGAATGCTTGCTTCTAGAGAAGGAGGTTTGCAGAGCTACAGATGAGACCATCCATCACCCCAAAGTCTTCTACTTTCCCCTGTGTACGCATAAACACGAATATCACATTTACAATGGGCAAGTATAATAAAATTACACCATTCCAAAATATAGAACCACTTCTTTAAAAATCATAACATTTCAATAGGTCATTAGGCTATATTAACCTTTTGTAGTACGTAAAAATAGATGCACGTAAGATAACCTCACCAAGTCAAAGTAGGGAGAGGTTGTATGTGTCAGCATAAACAAAGCAAGAGCCACAAGACTATCTGGCAAGATTTTTTGAGAGTGGAAAGTTCCTTTCATAAGATTAGGGGGAAAAGGATCATGGAATTTTACATAAACAGAGATGTTTTGTCTTTTTTATTTAGTAGGAAAGGAAAAGATGGAAAACATAATAAACCAGAAGCCTAAAATTTAAAAATCTACCCTTAGTAATGTTTTGCCTTATGAACTAATAAATTAGATAGACAATGGCAAATCACTGGTTTAGTAATAAAACCCTTGCTACTTAGAGGAGTCTATATGAATTCACATGCAACAAATAGATACAAAAATGTTCAACATTAAAATAAAAAAATTCACGAGCCCTGGAGGATCACAATTTTAACATACAATTCTGGTTGGACTAACAAAGGATTCCAGTTAGGTCTGAGGAAAAGGAAGAAAGGTAGACAAAAAAGCAAATAGTTACAGATTAGTGAAAAAATGAAAAGATGCCAGTTAACTTTTTTTTTTTTTTGACTGGGCCTGGGGCTTGAACTCAGTGCCTGGGTTCTGTCACTAAGCCTCTTTGTGTTTAAGGTTAACACTCTACCACTTCACAGCACCACTTCGGCTTTTTCTGAGTAGTTTATTAGGAAGTAGTTTGGTAGTTTGTAACATTTACTAGCGCCACTTAGGTTTAGCTATGTCTGTGAGACATGGACTTTCCTGCCCAGGCTGGCTTCAAAACAGGATCTTCAGATTTCATCTTTCTGAGTAGCTAGAATTACAGGATGAGCCACCAGCACCCTGTTAACTTTTTTCTTTTCAAAATAATTAAAAAAAATTAAACGATGGTTAAAATCCAACTGCTGGATTTTTTTATTTATTTTTTTTTTTCCGGTCGTGGGGGCTGAACTCTGGGCCTGGGCGCTGTCCCTCAGCTCTTCAGCTCAAGGCTAGCGCTCTACCACTTGAGCCACAGCGCCACTTTCAGCCTTTTCTGCTTATGTGGTGCTGAGGAATTGAACCCAGGGCCTCATGCATGCAAGGCAAGCACTCTACCACTGAGCCACCTTCCCAGCCCCAACTGCTGGATTTTTAACCAAGTTTGTCACAGACTAGGTATGTGAGCACAGACAAGTTGTTAATACACACACACACACACACACACACACACACACACACACACACACACACACACACACACACACACACACACACACACACACACACACACACACACACCATTTTATTACCTTGAAAATCAGGAACTGCAGTTGACTCTTATTGGACCACTGAAGTTTAATGTACACAAGTCTTAGAAAAACATTGAGCTGTGCTGGAACAAGGTAAACATCTAATATGTTGCTGTTTTGGTATAATTGTTAGCCTTGATAATGGTAATATTTCTTAATATAAAGGAAAAAGGTCAAGATGCATTTTACTTATAACCTGATTTGTTGAACTGAAACTTCTTTGTATAACTAGGAGGGACAAAGGGAAAAAGAGGGAGAAAAGGAGGGGGGAGGGAGGGGGAAGGAAGGAAGGAAGGAAGGAAGGAAAGGAAAGGAAAGGAAGGAATCAATCTAAAATATTAATCAGGTTTTCAAGCCACATAACTCCTGCCTCTCTCCCACTTAGAATTGAGGTTCAGGCTCTTGGGGGGAAGAAGAAAATTTTAAATTAGCTAAACCTAATGGGCGCTAGTAAATGTTACAAACTACCAAACTACTTCCTAGCCTAAGAATATATTTAATATTTCCTTATTAAAGTGTTAATTTTTGAAGTAGTCAAAATCAAATTTGTATGAGTTTTTTTAATATTCCACCTATTTTCCACTTTGTAATAAATCTATGCTTCCAAATATGCTCATCCATCAGTTTCCAATAATTTTAATCAGCTCTACGTTAAGGTCTTAAAAGCTTTTACTGTTTTCAGAAAGTATCTGTCCTAACATTTTTTGGTGAAGAGGTTACAAGTGGAATTCATGATGGTAATATCCAATATCCCCGAAATCTCTATAAAACGTATTTCTAACTATTTCAAACTGGAACCTCAAAATTGAAGATGAGACAGTTTTGTACATTAGTTAACAAAGCATAATATACAAATTAATGTCAAGCCTGAACAGACATGGAGAGTAGAAAGCCTAAATTCTATACCCAATTGTCATCAGTCTGTGCAAACTCTGGGATCCACACCCCAAGTCTCCAAGCTTGTATGGCTGGAAGTGATGCATGCTTTAAGAATCACTCATTCAGGAACTGTGTGGGCCAAGGCTAGAGTGAAAGGTCCACATTTGTTTTATGAATGAAGAATGTAAAATGTACTGGCTAAAGACAAAATGCCCTTCTTTGTTATAATTTCTGTCATTCTTTAGTTTTTAATCATGGTTTTGGCTAGACATAGCAGAATTCTGAAAGAATATGCTCATGTTAGTCATAGAACATTCCATGCCATCTTATAATTCTGTTTTCTGTGTGTGTATGTGTGAGCGCATGCGCGCATGTGCCTGCACGCACACAACTGCTGTTCCTGAAGCTTGAACTCAAGGCCTGGGCACAGTCCCTGAGCTTTTTTCTTTGTTTTTGCTCAAGACTAACACTCTGTCACTTGAGCCACAGCTCCACTTCTGGCTTTCTTTTTTTTTTTTTGGTAGCTAATTGGAGATAAGAATCTCCCAAGAAGTGATGCTGTGGCTCAGGTGGTAGCTCACTTTGAGCTGAAGAACTGAGGTACAGCGCCCAGGCCCAGAGTTCAAGCCCCATGACCGACCAAAAAAAAAAAATCAAATTAATAAAATGTACTTAAAAAAAAAAATCTCTCAGACTTTCCTGACATGACTGATTTCAAACCACAATCCTCAAATCAGCCTCCTCAGTAGCTAAGATTACAAGCATGAGCCATCTGTGCCCAGTTTTTATAATTTTTTTATCTATTTCTGTTTACCACTAATCCAAATTTAATCGATTTCTGTTTATCACTGATCAAAAGATCTTTTAACCTGCTTTGCCCCGCAAGATGAGAAAAAAATAGTAGACAAAAAAATGTATAATAATTTTATTCACACTATTCATGAAAAGCAATTACATTTTACATAAAATCATGAACACAATAAAAATGTTAATAGTAATACCTCTGATTAGAAATACAATACAGTAAAATATGTGTGAAAATTAAGAATAGCATACATTAGTGATTAAATTTATTCCATACTTTTTACTCATTTATAGCAGCATCTGTAAGATTCTATTTGTTCATAGTTAACTAGCAGCATTTTTTTAAAAATTACACAAATGCAGTAGATATTTCCTGCCAAAGTTTCATTAATACAAATTTGATCACCTTACCCAAGTAACAACACTTCTATTTCCCGAAGAGAAAGGTGGGAAAGTTTTCATCTGTTACCAGCTTCTTCAATGGAAGTAAGGAAGAAAGCTGGGGAACAAATTATAATTAACAAAGAATAATTTTTATGTTTTGTGCAGATATGGAGACTTGAACTCAGGGTCTGGGCACTGTCACTCAGCTTTTTCACTCAAGGCTGGTGCTCTCTGCCACTTGAACCACAGCTCCATTTCTGGCTTTTTGATGGTTAATTCAAGATAACCCCAGGCTTTCCTGCCTCAATTGACTTCAACCCATGATCCTCAGATCTCAGCCTCCTCAGTAATTAGTAATTAAGGCATGAGCAACCAGTGCCCAGCTTCAAACAAATTATTTTTGTCAGAGACTTTTTCAGACTATTGGTCGGATGTTTTTGCTCACTGCCAATGCTGAGCCATGACTCCAACCCCTTAATCACCTCAGCCAATAAGGGTGGCTTGTAGAATATGGGAGTGGGCATGTGTGTATGCATGAAAAAAACTGTAAACCTTATTTTCTAACTTTTTACACTGCAGTTAAAAAACACATGGAAGTTTCCAGGAGGCCTCTCAGAGCCGGGAGAGGATATTGGTATGTATCTCCTATTTTTAATAAATAAACATGAAAATACTGAGAAAATTATGTGCTTATTTTCTTGTATTATAGCTAAGAATTTAAACTTTTTAATTTGTTCAAACCAACTCAGAAAGTTTCAGACAGATTATTTCAAGGGCCAATATAAAATTAACAAAATTTCTATTATAACTTGTTTCATTACTGTAAGTAATACCATTGAAACATAATACCTATCCCTCCCTTTAGGAGTAGACCCTTAGGGGTACAACTGCTTCTAGACTCATCTGTAAGAAGCAGAAAAGCTTTGAATATTCATCATTAAGCTTATTTTGAATATGACTAAAGCTGTTGGAATTCCCCTACAGAGAAATTTATGATAAAGCTAATTATAGTCACAGTGATTCAGTTCTTTATGAAAACTTTATTTTGGATATGAAGAAAACCAATGCATAGTTGAGAAATAGTCTACTAACTTACTGAACTTGTATTTAAGACCGTGAAATGAGATATAAGCTAAATATTCTTTATGTCACTGGATTTGCACAAACAAAAAATAGAATTTTCTTTAAACCACTGTATCAAATTCAGTGTCATCCTAATCCAATCGTTAGTAGATACCAATATTATTTCTTTTACCAGGATTTGTGCCAGTACCAGGGCTTGAACTCAGGGCCTCCTGCTCTTGCTATACTTTTTGCTCCCAGCTGGCACTACCTCTCCAGCCACACCTCCAGTCTGAAGGGGGTTTTTCTGTCTGGTTAGTTAGAGATAGCAGTTAGGTAGCTGAACTTTTCTGCCTGGACTGACTTCAAACTGTGATCCTCAGTCATCAGCCTCCTGAGCAGCTAGGATTATAGGTGTGAGCCACCACCAGTGCCCAGCTTAGCATCTTTAATGTTTACATCCTGAATTCTCTTCAGCCAACAATATCACAGCAGTCTCCTAAATCTGTTTTACTGAAAATTGTGTATGTTCTTGAACTCTTATTTTTAAAATATTATAGATATGCACATTATATAGCCAACTCCTAACAATTTGAATAAATTGATTACATAAACACACATATATGTTTGATTACACATAAATAAATACACGCATGTATATAACACAAATGTTGGGTTCAGGTACGTACTGACCCTTTGTGTACATTCTGGTAGATACTCTGCAAACTATATAGTATTTTCTTTTTTTTTTTTTTTGATGAATGGTGATGAACAACTGTGATCCCAATCACAGCACTCAGGAGGCTGAATCTGGACAATCATGAGTTTAAGGCCAGACTGGGCTATCATGACTTTGTCTCAAATAAAAAAGAAAAGATGCCAGAGCTCCAAGTAAGAGCCTGTGAACTCATTTAACTTGTATTCTTGGTCTAGGAGGCTTGGGTAGCGTCTCCATCCAAACTGTATCTTCATGAATGAGCAGATTGGTTTTTTTGCACTTATCTGGATCGTCTGAATTTACTATACATTTAGATATAAATGAAGATAAAACATTTCCAAGCCAATGGAAGTGGAGGTTTAACCTCCAGCATCTTTCTTTAAGCCCAGCTAATTTTAAAATGCACTCCTTTTCTGAAATATTTGTGCTTCTCAAAACATCCCACCTATCCAGAAATCATATCTATTTTCCTCAATCCAGACAAATTTAAGAAAACAAGCAGCAACTGGCATCACCCTACTTCCTCCTCCACCATACTTCCTAGATGGAGTGTAAGTATAAGCTTGCCTTAGAGTTCATAAAACCCTGACAGCAGCTAGAAATTATGGAAAAATTAGGGCATTTCTGTTTAATAATACAGTACAAAATAATATATTTTGTGGTAGAACTGAACTTGTGCTTGCTAGGCAGTGCCCCATGGCTAAGCCAGCCCGTTCCTCATTGGTGATTTTTGAGCTAAGGTCTTGCTTGTCACTCAGGTATGCTGCAGTCCACCTGACTTAGGCTTCCCAGCCCTGATGTGTTGCAGGCACACTCCATTGCAGACTTTTTTTTTCTGCTGGGGTTAGTCTGGAACCTCAATCCTCCCCATATCAGCCTTCCAGGGAGCTAGGAATGCAAGTGTGAACCAGCGGCACACAACACATTAGGTATTAATGCTGAAGCCACACCATCCAATATTTGTGTAGTTTATGTTATTCAAACCCTGTACTCAGGAAAGCATGTAATATACTTGGGGAATACTACATCTGTAGACAGTTAAATATTCATACTGGGTTTTTATTAAGTCCCAGTAAGTAAGTAGTTAACTAGGAAAATTGGTTGCTTAGAATCTTCAACAATACTATGTAAATGAAATAGCTATTACCCAAGGTGCTTTTTAGAAGAGGGTCATGTATAAAACAATACAACTTGAGTATAAAAGTATCTCTGTAAGCTTTAATAGACAAATTGCCTTCCTAATGAGTTTCACTGCACTGAAGAAAATAATCTCTGCAGACGCCATATTCTGCAAAGTTTTTCCTATTTCACACTAATCCTAGTATTAAATATTACAAATAGCAAATATAAATTTCATTATTGTCCTATAGTTAAACTAATGACATATTTAAACATATGTCTCTTGGTGTTTGTTTTGGTGCCAATCCTAGGGTTTGAATTTAGGGGCTTGAGCCCTGCCCCTGAGCTTTTTAGCTCAAACCTTGAGCCACAGCTCCACTTCTGGTTTTTGTTTTGGTGCTTAATTGGAGATAACAGTCTCACAGACTTTGCTACCTGGGCTAGATTTGAACTGTGATCCTCAGATCACAGTCTTCTGATTAGATAGGATTACACAGCTAAGCCACTGGTACCCAGCAAAAACAACAAAACCTCTTTTAAGTTCTTCATACTTACAATAAATGTTACTTCAGTTTAGGTTACAGTCTGTTAAAATAAAGGCATAAGAGAGTGACTCACTTTATATTGATTTAAAAAAATCGAAATTCATGTTGAAATCCTTGAAGAGATTTGTTTTGTAGTGGAAAGGGCTTCTACCACAACTCTTGTCAGCATTTTCTATTTTAAATCTAGTCACTGCTGTCTGATTCAAGTTAAGCTGATCAAAAGTACCAGACAGTGCCAATTTCCAGTCACCTTCCTTGGTGACTGCAGGGCCACTAGCCCATTCTGTGCATCCATGATGTACAGCCTGCCAGGGTTCATGAGCTAATGCCAACTTCTGGTTAGTGGTACAGAGGGCTGATCAGGATCCAAATGGTTACTTTTCAGAGCATTTAAGGAGCAAAAATACACATTTGAATAAGCATAGGGAGACTATATAACTTTTAAGAGTCACAATAATATAGTTAATAACAAACATGTAGACCAGAATACAATTATTTTTCTAAGTATTCTCTTAATCTAGATTTCTTCCTTTATGCTTTCATTTTTGCCAACTCCCTTTTCTTTGGTGCTTGGGATTATGGCTATTCAGGGACAAGGTAATAATGAAGAAATATGTCTGAACATTATCTATAGCTTTGCAAGTGCATTTTAAGCCCTCGCAACCTGTTTTTACCTTTTTGGGAAATAGAACAAGAAGAGATTAAAAAGATGTGACCCCCAAGATGCACAAGTGACTATACCTCCAAGGAGCAAAGAAATGGTCAGTATTTGAAAAGTGTCTTAAATGTAGATCATTTAAAAAAAAACAACAACAACCCAAAACCTCTGTATTCAGGATGTCCAGAATGCAACAAGTTTGTATTGGTTTTGAATTTTTAGATTTTCACTGAAGATCTTTGATGAAGTCTCTAAAAATGTGATCCTTATTATCTGTTCATCTCTCTGGTGTGTAGGGGACACAGCAATCCGAGAAGTGTTTGAAGAGACAGGGATAAAATCAGAATTCAGGTCCCTCCTGAGTATTCGACAGCAGCACAGGAGTCCAGGAGCATTTGGGAAATCAGATATGTATATCATCTGCCGCCTTAACCCAAACTCATTCACCATAGACTTTTGCCATCATGAATGCCTGAGGTGCGAGTGGATGGATCTCAATGCCCTTGCAAAGACTGAAAATACCACTCTCATCACCCGCAGAGTTGCGAGACTTCTGCTCTATGGATACAGAGAAGGGTTTGACAAGATTGATTTCACCATGGAAGAACTGCCGGCAGTGTACACGGGCCTGTTTTATAAACTCTATCACAAACACCTGCCAGACAATTACAAAACTATGACAGGAATAGATTAAATTCACATTTACACGTTCTCAATATGTTTAACCCAGTCACCCAGATTAATGCCAAACATAGGAGATTTGGGATGGATTAAAGGCCTGATGCTAAATTTTCTTAATGTAGTTGATGTCTATGATAAGAATTTGTAAACACACATTTTAAAATCCTCTTTTAAAATAAAGCAAATAATATGAAAAACATTATAGCTATAGCTAATCCTCACTGGTTGCCAGCAGAATTTTCTTTACAGAAATGGTAAGGGCAATGGTTAACTATTATTAGATTAAAAGTTATCTAACAGTTATCCAAGTTGAATGTATATATTTTCTTTTTCATTAACAAATTTCTTAAATATACCTTCATGTGAAATGAGATTAGATGGTGCTGTACAAATCAGCTCTTCACAGACATTGGAAGAAAAAGTATGGCTTTCTGCCCAGGTCCTGTTTTGGATCCAAGTTTATACTGCCCAGTTCGTTTCAGTGCCACATACCAGCTGGAGTATTTCCGTGACCGGTAAGTATTGTAGTTATTTGATTCCAACCGTTCAAAAAAGAAACACTCATCTGTAACACATTTCTGAAAAACAAAAAGAATTGGCTGTCATACTTTTCATATTAAATGGTTATAATAATACAGTGTCAATTCTGCCCACCCAACAGGGTGGGATTGTTACAGAAATTGGCTAGTGTTGAAACTGGAGGTATGTTCAAGTGATAGAGCACCTGCTTTGAGCAATAAAGCCAAGGGAAAACACAAGGCCCTGAGTTCAAGCAAGTACTGGCACATTAACAAATAAACAAAATTGGCTGTGACATAACACCAAAAATATACTGATTCATAATGCATAAAATTAATAATCTACAAACACTAATAGACAACAAAGACTAATGTAGAAGGTATTGATTTCTGGCAGGAGTAAGGGGAACTGCCTTTTCAATTCAACTCTTATCAGGAAAAAAAATACCTACTTTCAAATAGACTTCCAAATAATATTTCAAGTAATGGTGTTTAGTAAGTACCATATTAGTATGGAAATATTAAAACAAAAATCAACTTCCAAGATACTCACTTTAAAATCAAAAGAGAAAAAATCTGCTTGTATTTTGTAATCTTATGTAATAGATGTATCATATGTATATACATATCTATATACTGTTACTATGTGATTATATGACATTATATTGTATATTTTACATATAATTGTATACTATATACATATTAAATTTTGATTTATATTACATAGTATAGTCATATAACATATATCCTGATGTTAAAAATATGTGCACTATATACATTTTTTAAACATTTGAATTTATATATAAGATGTGTATATAGATATGTATAAATATATGATTATACCTATTAATATAGGCCTATTTCAACATACTCATATTTAGAAAACCCTATTTAAAAAGACCTGAAACTTAACCCAGACTTTTGGTTCCAAGATTAGATTTTTAAAAATGGTATGAACCATGAATGAAACAAAAACTGGGCTGGGAAAGTGGCTCAGTGGTAAGAGTGTTTGCCTTGCATGCATAAGGCCCTGGGTTCGATTCCGCAGCACCACATAAGTAGAAAAAGCCGGAAGTGGCACTATGGCTCAAGTGGTAGAGCGCTAGCTAGCCTTGAGCTGAAGAGCTGAGGGACAGCGCCCAAGCCCAGAATTCCAGCCCCACGACCAACAACAACAACAACAAAAAAGAAACGGGCTGGGAAGGTGGCTAAGTGGTAGAGGGCTTGCCTTGCATGCCTGAGGCCCTGGGTTCGATTCCTCAGCACCACATAAGCAAAAAGAAAGCCAGAAGTGGCACTGTGGCTCAAGTGGTAGAGCGCTAGCCTTGAGCTGAAGAGCTGATAGCGCCCAGGCCCAGAGTTCAGGCCCCACGACCAGACCCCCTCCCCCCAAAAAAACTAAAAACCATGGGACCTATGTTTCTTTGGGCCAGGCTTACTTCACTTAATATAATTTTTTCCAAGCCTTTCCATTTCCTAACAAATGGGGCAATGTCATTCTTTCTGATGGAGGCATAGAATTCCATTGTGTATATATACACCACATTTTCTTGATCCATTCATCTACTGAGGGGCTTCTGGGTTGGTTCCATATCTTAGCTATGGTAAATAATGCTGCAATAAACATAGTTGTGCTGGTAGCTTTAGTGTGGTCTTGTTTATAAACATCTGGGTAAATGCCCAAAAGTGGGATTGCTGGGTCATAGGGGAGCTCTATGTGAAGTCTTTTGAGGAACCTCCATACTGCTTTCCAAAGTGGTTGAACAAGTTTACACTCCCACCAACAATGAAGTAAGGTTCCCTTCTGTCCACATCCCCTCCAGGGTTTCCCTTATTTGCAATATCTAGTATCTGTATGAGTCAAGCAGAAAAAATCAGATAATGTGGTTAGGAAAATGAACCCTTAGATATGTATTTAAATGTTTTTTTCTTTCATGCATTTGTTTCTAACGCATTTATAAGATTATTTCTTTGTTGCTTTGTATGTCCCTCCCTCACAGTATAACCCCTGCTTTCACTATATTTGATGTCGGTATAATTTGTGGGGGAGATGGGGAAAAACAAGCCGTTTAAGGATACAGGTGGACCCGTTGGCTGGGAAGGGACGGGGAGGGGAAACAAAGGAGGAGGCTGCAATGCTTGATAAGAAATGTACTCATTATCTTGCCCAGGTAATTGTAACCCCTCTGTACAGTATGTTCACAAAAAAATTAAAAAGAAAGAAAGAAAGAAAAACTAATATACAAGAAGAGCTGGTATAATACCAAAAATAAGATGAACAGCACAGATGTGCTAGGTGCTAGATTGCAGTCACACCTGTAGTCCTAGCTACTTAGGCTGAAGATCTGAGGATTGCAATTTGAAGCTAACTAGGACAGGAAAGACCCCGAGACTCTTCAATTCCATCAAAAAGCCAGAAGTGGAGCTATGGCTTAAGTGGTAGAGCGCTAACCTAGTACTAGCAAAAAAAAGCTCAGAAACAACACTTAGATCTGGAGTTCAAGTCTCAGGACCAGTACAAAAACAAAAAATCAAAGTACAAACCTGAGAAAGTGAGTCACATGTTACCACTGTTTGTGATATTAGATCCTATTCTCAGCAACTAGGGAAAAGAATTTTACTATTTAACTTGGCTTTAAAATTTTGATGGCCCTTAATGGATTTTAAAAAATTGAGATACAAACCAAAAATTTTACTACTGTGTGACACAAAGGCAAGTTACTTATTAATAAACTTGAATATAGTCAGATTCCTTATAGTAAATTGTAGATTGCCTAAGAACCAAGCTGTATGATACACAGAAATGTCTAACCAACAAAGGATTCCAGTGTTTTAACAGTGAGACACTTAACATAATGTAGAAATTCCAAATCCAGCACCTTCTGTTACCGAGATGTCTGCAGCTTTGCTTTAGTTTGGATATAGGCATGTGTTTCCAAATGTGCTCTCTAGTGCAGTGAAGAGGTGCTGACATCTTTAAGAGGCGGTTCCTGCAGGGCAAGTCCTTCAGTGATTAGGAAGCTCACCCTGGGAACAGAGTTAGGTTCCAGCTAGGACCCTAGTTGATTCTCACATGAGAACGTTGTGCTAGAGCTCCTATCTGGCCCCTCCCTCACCTCTGTCTTCTGATCTCACCACAAGCCAAACAGATGGGGCCACTGAACTCTGTCAGCCTCAAAACTAGAGCACAATAAAGCTCTTTTCTTAACAAAGTACACAGCCTTGGGTAGTTAAAGAAATGGAAAATGAATACAGGCCTCTGGTATAAATGAAATTCATCTGGGTTACTAAATATCTTTACTTATTCTAGTTTTAAGAGTGCGAATAAAAGCTGAGAAGTGAGAGCAGATCCACAGGTCACTTCCCCAGAAGTACTTAAACCACTTCTCTTCAGAGTCCAGCCAGCCTCCTGGACGCCCCTCCTCACTAGCCCACACTGCCTACCACGCTTAGTGCCTACTAGGGTACAGAACCATGCTAGTGATGTTCTCCTGTTCAGCCAGTTCCTAGTGTTTCATATAAAATAGCAATACTAGGGACTATGTGAATGCATCATAGAAACCAACAGCTTTCTTTTCCCTTTGAAAAAGCTGAAGGGAGCCGTGTATCTGGGCTGAATGTTGAGCCCTGTAAATTTACTAAACAATCTCAACACCAAACCTTAGGATTCATACTCAAAAGCTACCATGTAGTTTTTTTCTTATTAACCTTTATAGAGATATATACAAAGCACCTTCCCTGTTTCTAGTTTGTGTTCACTATTTAAACTTGGAAAGGGGACTTAAGAGCTTCTAACAACTTGTACCTTGGTTTTGGCTTTTGTTTTTACATTTTTTTATTAGTATCAATTAATAACCCCGTTGTACAGGGTGGTCAGATTTTTGTGTTTTGTTTTCGTTTTTCATGCTGGTATTAGAGTTTGAACTCCACTGTTTTGCTCAAGCTAGCAATCTACCATTTGAGCCACAGCTCCACTTTGGGTTTTTTTTTTGTGGGGGGGGGGCGGGGGGAGGTTTGCTGGCTAACTGGAGGTAAGAGTCTCACAGACATTCTTGCCCAGGCTGGCTTTGAACCCCAATCTTCAGAGCTCAGCCTCCTGAGGAGCTAGTATTACAAGTGTGAGCCACCAGCACTCAGCAGGGAGGTCCACCTCTGTATAAAGTCTGCTCTGATCACACTCACACCCTGCCTCACTCTCCTGTGTCTCCCTCCCAAGCTTCCTAACTCTGTTTCCCACATATAGAAATTCCAACACATTCGCCCTCTCCCTCCTACAGGACCTGTTTTACATCCCTGCCCTTCATCTTTCTTCGTTTGCTGTTAAAGCTTTATTACTGTGTAGGCCTAAGGGCTGCGAAATCCTGGACTCGGGCTTGACTTCTTTAAAGCCCATCATAGAAATTACACTCTTCAAACATAATTTTTACTTTGCTTCCTCAACAGCCAGTGGAGCGCTGGTGCTTTCAAGTAACTCATTTCCAACTGTGGACACTTTCTGCCTACCTGCCACCTTTCCCCCAAATTAAAATTTCCTTGATTAAAAAAATGACTTAAATAATGACTGTTTTCTTTCTTCTAGACACATGGGACATATTAGTGAACAAAACTGAGTGTCACTCTAGCAATAAATGACTTTGGTTATGGGGAAAAAAG